ACCGTTATCAGGCTCTTGTAGTGATTTATAATTATACTGATTGCTTGTATGTATATTTCACTAGTGTACGTAATAATTAATATTTGTTTGTGATAATGACTGCAGTGCTTCCGTGTGCTTTATCAAGTGGATAATTTGTATTGTATACTGTGTAGTTTGGAATGTAAAGGAAGTTTTTAATTGTAAAGTTTTCATGAATGAGAAATGCTCTTAATTCGAGATGTCTCTGCATAAGACCGTTTTCATTCTAAATAGCAATTTTCTGATTTTGCATTATGTCATTTTATTAACACGTACGGTTGATAAATTTAGCATTCTTTGCATTAGCTATTCCATCGTGTGTTCGAGTTTATTATTTGTGTTTACTTCGTTGGTATGTCTACTTAGCACTTTTTTGACAGCTGTTTGTTTTGATTTTTTCTATCTCACTTTGATCAATTTGTTTTGATATTAGCCGTACATATATTATTTTTGGTCCAACTATATTGACATTAGCATTCAAATTAAATTTGGATTTTTGTTTTGATTTAATGTCTTTTCTCATAGTCTAGGAAATAGTTTTTTCTATAATTATTTACGAACTAAGCATCCTTTGTAATTTGCGATATGATTCCGTGTACAATTTGCACATGGTATAATCTTTTATTTGTTGTTTAATTAGAGATTATTTAGTTTTATGATATTCATCAGATCCCACATACACAGCACTTTTGTAACAATTGTTTTTTGTATGCCTATATTCTTGGCAGTTTTGACATTGAGAAATTTCTATGTCTCTTTTTAATTCATCTATATCAACTGATGCTTCTTAATATAACTGAAACCTTTTTCTTCTGTAAATGTTAAATCGTGTTTTTTTTCAAAGTCAGTAATAATTGAAAAATACTTTTCCGAAGTTATCGACTAAATATCAATTTTATTTTGACTTATCACTTTTAAGGTTTAATTGTCTATGACTATTGTATTCAGTAAATTTACTAACTATTTAATATTCTCTATATTATAAATGAAGATCGGAGGGGAAGTTCTTTTTAATTTAATTGCTTCATTGTTTTCTTCTTCACTTTGATTTTTTTTATTTTCTTGTAGTATTTCACACTTGTTGGTTGTGTTGCTTAGTTAGTGATCTGATAATTGTACTTGTCGTTTTTTAAATTATGTTTGAACTTCTAGGCTGCAGTTTTCCAATTTTTAGTTTGGTTTTTATTAGGAGTAGAAATGTCGTCCCCTATTTGAGTGATCATATCAACCGTTATTTTCTTTTATTTTGAGGCACCGTTAATGAATTTTGAAATTCAAATGTCACTTCACTTAATTTGCTATTACTATAATTTTTCGGGTAGAGCACAATTTCAACACGCTTGCACACCTTAAGAATCAAACGTAAACTGATGATAATAATTTTAATGAGAAAAATTATTAATTTTAAATAAATAAAGGAAAGGGTTCCGTTGTGAACACCCATTTATTTTTGGCTCATAACTTTTCACCAAATACATGTTTTTTGGACATATAGATATATATGAAAAGCTAGAGACCTTAGCTAACTACCAATGAAGGGGAAAAATCGATTTCGTCATATAGAATAATTTTCTTTTGTTAATTTTATGAAGTAGTCATTTTTACCAAAATCTATTTTGGTTTGGTTGTGGGCACCCTTGTAAAATCTGCTGAAAATAGGAAAATATCAAGAAAAATCATACAAAATATAGAAAAAACGAACATTATTTATTTTTAAATACTTCGGACATCAATTGCGCTTCGCGCGCTTTCACCTTCTTTTTGATTTCTAGTCATATTGATTAGCACATTTAACGTAATAAATCTTTTTTTTCAAAAGTAAATTTTTCAATTTTTATTACAAAACCGCGTATTTCACATTCATGAATTATTACATCGAAAATTGATATAAACAATCTCTATAGTTATTTTCAACTATACGTGTCAAATCACTATTAAACGTTTATTTCATTCTTTTAGTAAAGATTATGATATTGCAATAATTTTTTCAATCTTATACGTTTAAATATCAGATTATCAGGATAATAAAAAGGCACAATAACCTCTCGCTTTTACCAAACGATTTAATCGCTACAAGTTTCATAAAATGAGTGTAAAAATAATAACATTGCAGCATACTTTTTTATTTTCATTGTCTTCAAAATCCTTCGTATCAATTATAAAATGAAATTTTATTACTAAAATCTCAACTCAAAACCATATCTACGCAGATTTGCTGCTACAATAATATATCACGTGACTATATCTCAACCAATTACATCACAAATAAAATGCTTCAATATGGCATCCATCACCTCTTTTTAAATAGATAATTATTTCAGAAGAATATTTTAGAAAGTTGTGGACAGGTTATCCACAAAATAACGTTTAATAGCATCAAGCAGTACATTAAAATCTATATCGGATGATTTTTTCCATTTATCTTTGGACGACTTGGCTATAAAAATCAAAAATACGTGAAAACACCATTAAAATTTTAATGTGAAAGAAATATATGGAAACATGAAAAATTATCAACACACGTATATTTCATTAGGTACTGCTTACTAAGTAGTTAGATTTAATCAAGGACAATATTCCATCATTTTTTAGAAAAACTAAACGAGTGTCCACAATCAAACTAATTTCGGTGCCCACAACCGAATTTGTCAACCATCTTGAGAAGTGGTGAAAAAAAATTGTTGATACCAACATATTGGTTGCAATCGATATTGCATCACGAAGAAGGAATAAATTCTTACTGAATAAATATGCATTTCACTCACTTTCATTGATTTGCTTCGATTTATAATACTCTTGAAAAAGTTTAAATGAATTTGTATGATTTTTTTCAAGTACAGAAAAATTAATATGCTCATAGCACAAAGCAGAGACGTTTGTTCGCTTGGTTATTTGATATAAATAAACGTGTTTCCATAATACATGAATGACATTTGTCAGACAAACTTCATCTTCTTTCTATTAATAGAAACGCAGGGGTATCCACATAATCGAATCATGCCCACAACCTCTTCCCATAACATTATATTGAAATTATTATTTTGAATGTGAGTCAGCGAGCAAAGAGAATAAAAGTTACCTCTCTAGTATGTGTGTGAGGCATTCTTTGTATATATATGAGGTATTCTTTCTTTTGTGTATATATATATGAGGCACTATTTCTGAACATTACATCTTCTGCCCATTTTTCTTTTAAATTAAAAATTTTTTTTTTAATATAAAATTTATAAAAAAATCAAGCTTTCCGATGTCGAGTGATATATTAACCGTGGAAATCATTGTCAAGGTCATTTCAAAATCAACTTTATTTTTTAACTCACAATCCCTATTTTTTATCACAGGTTCGGAATATTTGGAAAAATTTGTGTTCAAATGAAGTATTATATGTGAGATCTGTTTGATCCCCTCGCCCCCCCCCCCGCCCCCACAAGGTTAAATGAAGGCCAATCATCCTCTTTTTTTTGTCACCCAGCTAAGCTAACTACGACAAATTTTAGCAAATACCGTTTCAGTCACATGTATCATTTAAAAATTCGAAAAGCATAAATAATAAAAATGTTTGAGCGGATAGGATTAAAAAACAGCAGTGTAATTAAAGTTATTTTTGTTTTATTATAAACTTATCTTCAATTATATAATGACGTGCATTACTACAAACACAATATCCACATGTAAACTAATATATATATATATATATATATATATATATATATATATATAATTTTACTATTTGAGTTCGAAATTTTTTGCTTAGTTGTAGTGGTATCCCCAATAGGAATCATCATATATATCTTTATATTTTCTTATTAAAATTAAAACAAAATATAAATTGTTATTTGCTTTACGAAGTTGAGATCAAAGTAAATAGGGGTACCGTCTAATATATCTATAATTAATATTATATATATATGTGTATACAATATCGAAAGCTCAATTTATGGGTAACGAACAAAATATCAAAAAGTTATCTATTCAGAAGTAAGTTAATCTTACATCTAAATAAATCGCGTTGTAAATAATTTAAGCATTCGAAAAATCAATATTTAAATATATATTTAATATAATAATAAGTTTAATGTCAAAAATAAAAAGTTATCCTACTGGCTTCAATATTGAGCGCTGTGGACGTAAGACAAGTGCGCGCGCATGCCTTCTGTCTTTCTTCACTTTCTAGCTATCAACATCTACAAATTTATATGGACAACAAGCAAATTGAAAAAGAACAGCTGAGAAAAAGTAACAATGAAGCAAAAATAAATATATTGCCAACACTTCATGATGACAAAACGAATTGTTCAATACATATAGGGAAGTAAAGTGTGATAAATTAAATTTGAAATTACATATTCACAATTTTTCGACAAAGTGAGAAAAGGCCAACAGACATATTATTAAATAAAATTATTCACATTCCTTGTGTGTAAGCCATTTATTGTTGAAAGTAACATAACTATAAGATGTTTTTTATGGAATAATAGTGATTAGAAACATTGGTCTACGTCACAAGAATGTTTCCAGATCCAAGTGTTTTTGCTGAATTATTAATCCAGAGTGAATGTCGTCTGTAGAAATGCAAGATATTTTGTTATTAGTTCAAGTTGAATAAGTTTTTTAGATCTTCCATAATGTATATGCAGATATAAATAACTATCTAGATCATTGAAACTTATTAAAATAAATTTACGAAATTATCATAATAAAAAAGCAGTATTGTTTAACTTGTTACTTACAAAAATATATTAATTTAAAATAAAAAGAATATAATAACGTTATTTAATTGTGAAAATTTGAATAATAATAAGTGTCAGTAAATGTGGTGACAGAACTAATAACTATAACAACAATAATAGTAATAATAACAATAATAATAACAATAACAAAATCAATAATAATAACAATAATAGTAATAATAATAATAATAATAATAATAATAATAATAATAATAATAATAATAATAATAATAATAGTAATAGTGTTAATATTAATAAAGAATGCATAATATATTTATCTATGTACGACAATTCATTACTATTTTGTAAATATAAAACATATTTTTACAGTGTTCATTTTTTAATTTGAAAACATTTACAAATATTGTATTTATTCTGTTACAAGAGTGCCAAGTTATTTGTAAAATAAGACAGCTTTAGTCATGTGTACTGATTGTAAAAAAAATCAAAAATTGTCAATATTATTGATAATTTCAATTTTGGTACTTGTGACAAATCTGTCACTTATTACAGGACACCGTTCTCCATCTAATTTATCTTTTTTCCAAATCAGCAATAACGAAAATAATAATAAATCATATTTTAGTGAACAAAGAACTGAAATTCTCGCTTTGTCTGATATTATAAGAACACTGAAAGAAAATTACTCAATTCATTTGAACGGAAATAATATCAGTTTACATCATCATCATCATCATAAAATCGGACTGAAAATGATGGATGAAAAAGCACCTTTGTTTCCAACAGATTTTTTCAGTATCGAAGAACGTCGTCAAGGAGCTGTGCTTCTGCATATACTTGGAGTTATTTACATGTTTGTCGCATTAGCTATTGTTTGCGATGAATTTTTCGTACCATCTTTGGATGTAATCATAGAAAAATTGGATATAGCGGATGATGTTGCTGGAGCAACATTTATGGCAGCTGGAGGTTCAGCTCCTGAACTCTTTACATCAATAATTGGCGTTTTCGTATCATTTGATGACGTAGGAATAGGAACTATTGTCGGCTCAGCTGTATTTAATATACTTTTCGTGATTGGAATGTGTGCTATTTTTTCGAAGACAGTCTTGTCGCTTACATGGTGGCCTCTTTTTCGTGATTGTACTTTTTACAGCATAAGTCTACTAACATTAATTTATTTCTTTAGAGATAATTACATTTATTGGTATGAAGCATTGGTGTTATTTGGATTTTATTTAGCTTATGTAAGTTTCATGAAGTGGAATCGACCGATGGAAAAAGTTGTCAAAAGATTATTTTATCACAATAGGGTAACAAGAGTCAGATCTACTGATCAGCTTATGCCAACGGTAAGAAGTATAAATAATTTAATTAGGATATATATATATATATATATATAAATAATTTAATTAGGATATATATATATATATATATATATATATACGTTGTGATTAATTGTACACACAATTAATCACAACGTATGTATGTATGCATGCATGAATCCGTATATGTACTGATTATTAATTAATGAAATAGTGCAGTAGAGTTGGGGTAATAGTAAATATACCCATCGTTCTTCTTAAATAAAATTTTTTATTGATAAAAAATAAATTTTATTCTATACAAATTACTATAATCTACACACACACACACACACACACACACACACACACACACACACACACACACACACACACACACACACACACACACACATATACATATATATATACAACAGCATCGCCGTTGTTTCGTCCAGCTCACATAAAATTTTTCTTTTCTTGGGGGGAGCGAGCAGTGGCAATCTGTTGCTTATTTTCTGAGGGCTGTCGTTGTCAAACAGCCCCTTCACTATACCTACTGGAAAAATATACTCGTATTGAAATTAATTTCAATTAATAAATAAAATAAAATAATTATTTATTATATAAATACGTTTTAATAATTCTCGCTTTATGCGGTACCTCCATCGACTACGGGCACATGTAGGCGATTCATTCCACGACACAGCTTTGTTCTGCCTCGTGGTGATCGGCCTTGGGCTGACAAGGTCGATGCATGGTATTGGTGGAGTGACTCACAAGGGAACCACCCCAACCCGACCTCACCGATTTGAATGATGTTGGGATATGTTGTAGTACTTGAAAAAAAATTAGATACGTGTTTTTTTTTATCGGCCCATAAGGGCCTTTAACCTGTTAACCGGGCAAATCCCTTTATAATTACGTAACATATAACGGGCGTGTCCTTTTCCACTAAGACGTGTATGAATGACGTATTACCATAGTAGTAGTAAAATATACGTCTCGCCCGTTCCAGGGCGCAATATAAATATCGAGGACGTATTCATATGTCCTACCCGTACCCGATATTGTTTATTTTGGACGTATTTATACGTCCCGCTCGGTTAACAAGTTAAGAGGTGAAATCCACCCTGAAAATCAACCCCTAAAATCAGTTTTTTTAATATTTCTCAGCATCAAATGAATATTTTTCAGTAAACTCAACGTTAAAAAATTTCTTATAAAAAGGGGCTTTTAAGGACATAACATTTATACCGAAGGGTTGCAACCCCCTTTTTAATAGGGGTAAATACACTATTTTTTGTACTGTTTTACGACATGTAATATAGTAAATCAGCACGAGTGATTTAAAAATCGCACTGATAATGAGAAAATACCAAAACTAAATTGACGGGCTTACGGATTTAAAAAAAACATATGTTTAAGGGGTGTTTCACCCCCTAGAAACCACCTCCATGAAATTATCAGCAGGTTAATCCACCTAACCCTGGGATAAACAAGTTTAATCGTTTGTTATTTCTTGAAATAATTTAATCCTATGCATGAGCGAGCTACCTTAACTAACCAACCTGCCTCTAACCCACCAAACCCCCCATAAACCACCCTTACCGAACCACATGCGGGCTAACCTTATATAAATAGCGAAAAATATATGTATTTCTTGAATAACATTCATGTTGCATAAAAATATGTCTCAAGTATTACAAATTTTATCTAATAATTATTATTTTCTTTTCATTATTAATACTAAAAAGATAAAAATAAATAATAACGGCTTATAAATATAAGATTTGAGACTAAAATAAATTATAAATAATTATTAACTATTTTGTTTTTTCGAAATTAATAATAACAGTTATAGTATCAGTTTTTTTAAATATTATTTGCATTGTATTACATATAGCTGTGTATAAAAGAGTAATAAAAATAGTTATTATTTTTTAAACGTAAAGTTAATTCATAATAAAGAAAAATAACAAGTAATAACAGTTAAAAATTATTAATTTCAAAAGTGGAAGTTTACCATAGTTATTATTTCTTTTTTAATAATTTACTATTTGTCAATGAGAAAAGAAATTATAACAAATAAATTATATTAATAGTTATAAATGTTTATTATAGTCTCAATTCCTATACTTATAAGCTGTTTACTTTTTTCAATTGTCACTTGTAGTTTAGTTTACTTTTTGTTGGTACTGTACTTTGCCGTACACTTTATCTTCTTTACAATTTTGTCTTATCAATAGCTCGAAGAAGATAAGTTATATCAAATCTACGCCCCTTACGATGATAAGACATCCGATACATATTTCATTATTCATAGTAGTTGAAGAAAAGTCAAGTATTTTAAAAGTTAAAGTTTTTTTATTCTGCTGGAGTTATAAATAAACTTATTTCTATATTTACATACAAATTTCCCGAACACGAAGATATAGTACATAACAAGAAGAAAAGTTCCTGTCTACTACGTAAGTATTTATGTCACTTATCATATATAATTTTATTCAAATATTTTGATTTGTAAGCATGTGAAATATAACTGTTAAAAACGTATGATCGAATTCTATCTATAGACTAGGTTTTCTTTTGTCTTTTGTAAAATTATTCAACTGCAAAAAAGAGTATTTATATCTTGATTTTGTTTTAGATTAAAACATGAAGATCATTCCTTTGAACGTAGTCAATTTATTATTAGCATATTTTCAAAGTTTACAAATACCAGATAGCGAGATTAATTTCAAAGAAATTAAATTGTCAGAAAAGTTGAAAAAAATATTAATAGATGCCGTGTATGAGTTTAATGATATTGGTATGATTATTGAAGAGACGTTAGATTTTCATGAAGATTATAAAGATACTGATGTTAAAATCATCGAAGATGAAGTTCAACATCGTTTCCTGATTCTGATTTTGCACCAACAAATCAGTGCACAAATGATGATGAAGAAATCACATTTGATTATAAACAAAGAGCCGTAGAATTTTGGAGGAGCGGAAAAAACAAAAAATTAAAACTGGATACTGTACAACATAGATTCAAAAAAGTTTCATCTATAAGTCAACTTAACCGTTAGGGGAAAACAATTAGTAAAAATGGAACTTACCGAGAAAAAATTGCGCAAATTTTCCAATACACGTGTGACGTCGTGGCAACGACACAGCTCAGGTGCGCCTGAGGCTTAGCGCAATCTCAGGTTTCGTTGTCGCCAGAACTGCGATTTCTCGCCTAAACTGACGTCGATCACTCATCAAGAAATTGTCTAAATCGAGGGGGATAGTGCCACAGAATCTATACTTCTTCTCTCAGATTCCGATCGAAAGTCGTAATCTTTGAGCTAGAAGCACCACGGGTCCTATCAATAGTAGTACCCGGGTTTTTCTAATAATATTAATGCCTGGAGCCTATCAAAAGTAGTCTCCAGATAATAAAAAAAAGAAAGGGAAACACGAGCTATTTCTTAACTAGAAGAAAGAAAGATTGAAAAACAGGAAATAAAAATTGTTTCGTTTGCTTACTGTTTTTTTTATTTTCTAATACACCTTTTTCGGCCTGTGCGTCCTTATTTTAGATCGGTTGATTTTCCCTTGTCTTCTCGTTCCGCTTGGCTGTTTGACTTCCTGCTCCTTACTGATAGTACTGCGTGATTTTTCTTCAACTCCCTTGATTTTTCCTTGACACTGCCTGGTATTTCCTCAACTGCTTGATTTTCTTTTTCACTTGATTTATTTTCACTCCCTGATTTTTTTCTCCACAACTGTCGCTCGAAGCTCGTACATCTCTTTTTATACACTGGGGGTGGCTGGGTGGTAAGTCCCTCTCTTAGCGTCTTGGCTTTGGGAGGAGTGGAGTAAGCGATGATGCTTTCATTGGCTCATTTGTCTCTTTTCATTTTCCTCACTGATTTTTCGGGCCCTAATTGGAGCGGGGGCGTGGAGAAAATCGGAGGAGCGGACGCAAAGGAACAGGCCTTGGCTCGCGAGATGGCTCTTCGAGTACCATTCTCAACTAAGATTTATCCAATAAGCGGATTTACAATAACTTAAAAATTATTTTTTTGTATAAACTCGATAACTTACAAGTTACTTAGTGCTAGGAATAATATTGTAGGTTTTTTTCGCAATTACAATTGATTATAATTTATATTGAAAATAAGAAAAAAAATATATAATCTTATGATTTCGCAAGCTGTATTGTACAGATTTATGGGTGTTTTATTAAATTTTTCACTAATCATACAATTCTATTTCAGTTTTAATCGGAGTATTAATACAAGAAAAAAAACTTATGTAACTTAACAAGGCGATTATTTCCTCATTTCTTACAATAAAAATCCGTTTAACAACATAGTGCGCATATATAATAATTTTTTTCTTGGATTTTTCTCTGTTTTTCTTATTTTCTAGCTAATCCTAGCTTCGAAATGAGAACTCGATGAGAGGTTTGAGAAGTCATAATTATCCGGGATGTATTGCGATAGTGAAATAATTGCATTTGGATAATTTTAAATTTTATTTCATTTCAATGGTAAATTTTTGAGCATCTTAAAAGAAGGAAAAATCCGTTGGGAAAAGTGGCATACAGGATGTAGTCGCAGTTTTATGACTCTCTCCTCTCATCGACATGTTGACACGTGTTAAACACGTACAAGGGGCTACACGCTCTTTGCATGCGTTAGAGAACGCTGGCTCGGATGCAGTCGCGGTTTTATTGTTTTTCGGGGAAAAATTCTTATAACTTGTTTCGGTCCCCCTCGCTTTTGAGCGACTGTTCTCGTTTCTCCGCTTGTCTTAGATGCTATACAAAAATATTCTTACAAAAATTAAAATTTTAAAATGGTCCGCCGTCACACCCCCACACTAAAACGGTTACTTAAGGAGCGCAGCGAGGCAAAGTAATCGTTAATTAAGATGTAGTTGCAGAGCATGGTAACCAAGATTTATTAACATTCATTGTCGGGAAAAGAAACTATTGTTAGATTGGATTGAGGACACTGGATTTTCTTTTGGTACATTGGCATCTGCTTCCTGCGTCTTAATTGGTATAT